CTGGAAATATTTTTTTTATTTTTTTACTTTTTCATTTTCATTTTGTCTACTTAGACATTTTTAGATATCCCCCCTCCCCTTTTTTTCCAATCCATCTTTTTGTAGTTTCCTGTAATCTAGCGGCTTGGCCAGACATACGGTAGTGACAACCTGCTGGCAATGATGCAGTGGACTAGGAGAGTCTTTACCCAAAGATACTGCAGAGTGAAATATTGTTCCCAAGGCTGAACTTAAAGGCTTTTATGCTTACGAAGAGTTAGTTAAATTAGAATAATAGTTTAGCTGTAGTATATATCATGCTGCTTGAATGAAAATATACTTTTGTCTTCATTTAATTAATAAACTGATGATCTAGCCTGACTACGGGTACTCAAAAAAAAAAAAAAGAATTAGTTTAATGAACCATAAATAATTGTAGCTCAATATTAACTAGTTTAATATTTTCATTGATAATTGTGCATTAATCATCCAGTCCCTTGTTAGATATATCCATTTATGAAGTGATAGTAAATTTAACTAGAATAAATCACAATAGGTTATCATTAATCTATATGTATACAGTATATATAAGATGATTAATGTTATACTAATGAATTTATTTTCACCAAATATTAAATTAATTCTTAATAAAAAGTTGGTATTTAATACTAGTTATAATTAAAATTAAAAAAAAAATTTTTTTTTAAAATAATGAATAGAAACTTATATAACTTGTTAAATTAAAAGCTTTTATATTATTATTAAATAAAAAAGTATTAAGAAATTCAATTTTTTAAATAATAAAAATACTTATTAATAACTATTGAAAAATATTATAAATAAATATAAAATTATTTTCTAAAGTAAATTAAGACAAAAAAAATATTTTTAGAAATAAAGGTTTCTAGTAAATAATAAGTTTTTTTAAATAATATATAAAAAAAATAAGATCTGTGTGTCAATAGTGCAGTGGGTGTGTTTCCAGGTCACCATTCGCAAGTTACTGGTTCAATCCCACTTCAGAACAGTATTTGCATTATAGGTTACATTGTACAAGAATGCATACTTATCAGTCACATGCAAGCTTGAACATAAAATAACCTATAGAAATCCACCGTCTGACCACGGTGTCATAAAACAGGTCATACAGGTTCCGGTTGGTTTTAGCACTGGAAAAACAAGCCACGACATTCTGCCACTTGAAATATGCACAGACACCAAGAACGCCAAGAAAGACAATGATAAGACTCAGGATTCTATCGGCCTCATATAGAATCTACCTCTTCTCAAAAACTCCAGCCTCATGAGAGGTCTAAAAGACTTCGGTCATACGAACCAGCCGCAAAATATAATGGGCTGGACACATACTGGGAGATCTTTGATCACTATCACCAACAGCTACCAGAGATTGGATCTCGCGGGTGGCCAATGAGGAGTGATAAAGTTGAATAGTCACGATGGGAAAATGCAGGGGCAGACCCTGAGAGAAGAAATTCGAAAACAATCACTAAGGTAATTATTCCGTTGGGAGGAGCAATCCATTACGAAGTAACCAAGAGAAACCCCTGCAGACATATTTGAAGAGTGGTTAAAAATAGTCACTGGAAGATTACGATCGTCAATCTGGCTCACCAATGGCCACCGGGAAACTTGATGGGACCGCATGAAAACTGAAGAATATCACTGAATGACTAACCTTCTGAGGACTAAGCATGGTTAAAAGATGTCAAATTATGGAACATAACCCCTATAAGATATACAAGCCCCTAGAATCGAACAATCTCAATAGCTTCCTAAAATATAAATAGAAGTTCCTGGTGGATCCTAGGAACATCAGGAGTGCCCAGACATAGCAGGGCAGCTGACAGGATGGTATTTATATCAGATAAAATCTAAGGGTGTTTGAACAACTTAGAATAGTATAGATTAGCTATAAGAATCGCTCTTATAAAAATAATTCTGTACGACTCCTTCATAACCGATCAATAAAGCTCAGTCAGTATGACTAATTAAAAAAAAAATAATAATAATAATAAAAATAAAAAAAATTAAATTTAAATTTTTTAGATAGTTAAAAAAAAAAAAGATATTTCAATAAAAATATTAATTTATTGAAAAGAGATTTTAAAAATATATTTATTTCTAATCAATTTCTTATTTTATTTAATAATAAAGTTTTAATAATTAATTAATAGTACAAATAATCTTAGAAAAATATTTATTTAAAGTATTTATAAAACATTATACTAGATTTAAGATAAATTTATTAGTAGAAAAATTCGTTTAAATTAGATTATATATATATACAGTATATTATATAATGCTTGAATATATCTTGTACTAAATAATAATAAATCTATAAATTAAAAAAAAAAAAATTTTTTTTCTATAGTAGTGATCTGCAAGCAATGATATTAAAAGTTGAAAGAATCTTTACTTGAACATCTAATATAGTGATAAATCATTTTCAAAGTTGCACTTAGAGTTAAACTAAGATAAGCAATTAGTTAAAATTTTAACTTTGACAATACATATTATACAGTATGTATAGTTTACTTATCTTTAATAAAGCACACATAACTAACCTGACAGGGTAAAAAAAAAAAAAAAAAATTATAGATATTATAATAATAAAAATAATAATAATCAATTTACTTATAGCAATATTCTTATTTTTTAAAATTTTTAATCGATTTTCAGACACCCGACCCGCTTGAAACTTTTTATTCAATATAATTTGCGTGCAATATATACCTTTTTTATAAAGAATTACACGGATAGAACACAATAGAATTGTCCCATAAGTCGAATCTTTCCATTTATAATCAAAATTGGGTTAACTTTTTTTTTCGTGAACAAAAATCCTAAGAGAACAAATTAGTTCGGGATCGAAAACAACCTGATGTCGGTTCACGCGTTCCCGTTCTCGAGATTATAAATGGTTTTTATTCTCTTTGATTTGAAAAGTTTTGATTACTAAAATTGAATTGAAAGTTTTCATGGGAGGAAGACCGGACAGTTTGTCGTGAGAATTAGTCACAGTAATAACAATTTAAGAGAGCTTGCTGATTTATTGATCTTTTGTTTCATGCAAATCTTTCTCATTACGAAACAGAAATTCATTTGATCACTTTATTAAGATAAGATTGAACAAACAAGCCATTATCTATTTCTGATATTTCGTAGAAAAAAATATATCAAGAATAATATAAATAAAGTTGAGATTTTTTTATAATATACAGTACATCAAGAAAATATACATACAGGATGTCATAATTTGGATATAGCTTTACAAAATTAAAGTACAGTTATTGAATGTGATGACATTTAGTAAAAATTACATAGTAAAATTACAAATTTACATATTCATACATAAAAATGGATTTTTAAAAAATAGGAATTAAATTAATTAGAATAGTTTGATGAAGCGGATGAATATGCAGACGCGATAGAATTGCTTCTGTCAAGCCTTAATTTCATCCTTTCGATTTCTTTCTCGAGTCTATTGTGAATTCGAAATAATTAATAATTTTTGATTACGCGAAAACATTACAATGTTTAAATCAGAAATAATGAAATCATGAATACCTTAGTGAACGTTCTTTTGCCTCATTAGTCTCACGCTCCGCTCGCCTTTTACTTAGTTGCAATGCACTTTCGGAATTTTGCTGGGAAAGTTTAATGCGTGTCAGAACAGTGAATATGATGAGCCAACTTTGAAATATATTAGAAGCACATGATTTAACTCACAAGTTCTTCAATGGTTTCTCGCATTTTTGCGACTTTTTGTTCGTATTTGCTAATTTCTGTTTCATAGCGTGCTTTGGCCTTATCTCGTTCTGCAAGCTGGTATTGTAATTCTCTAATCGTTCGGTCACTTTTTCTCGACATTCGTATGGTTTCATTCTTTTCGCGTGTCTCGTTATCGAGCTGAACGGTTAATTCTTCGAGCCGAGATTCCAGGCGTTTTATACCACGCGGTGAAGTCATCAATTTAGCTTCCAGATCCACAATTCGGACATTCAATTCATTAACCTGTTTTTCTAGTACGATCTATTAGGGAGAAATAATAATTTTTCGTTTTGTGCACATCATACTTGGTAAATCCGGATATAAGGAAAATGAGAAGAGGGGTGCATACCTTTGATTTCATTAGATCTTGACTTTCCTCGCGTTCCTTTGTCAATTCAGTCTGAGCATCTAGAGCCGCTAGTTCTGCCTTACGCAATTTTTCAGCGAATATCGAAGCCATTTCCTGTTGTTCTTCAACGAGCTGTCGAAGTGACACGACCTCCTTATCTAAGGCCGTAATGTTTCTCTCAGCAGCATTCTTGTTTTGACTGGCATCATTATATTGTTCACCAATATCTTCGAGACGTTCTTCAAGGTTTCGTTTTAGTTTTTCGAGAAGCATCTTTTGCGATTCAGCGTCCTCCAGTGCCGTTCTCAGATTTCGCATTTCCGGCAGCAAGACATTAACTTGAGACTGAAGTTCATCATGAGAGGCCAATGCATCGCTATATAGTTGAGTCAATTCTGCGATTTGGCTTTCGTATCTCTCTTTTTCACGTCTCCACTGGTTTAGGCTATGATTTTCTTCAAACTTGGCCAAAATTTCCTCGTTCTCCGTTTGTAAAGACTTGTTCTCCTCTCTCAAACGAGAAATGTTGGCTCTCTCCATTTCAATTTCATCGGTAAGCTTAATTAGCTCGAGCTGATACTTTTTTCTCGTTTGATCAAGAGAAAATTGAATTTCCTCAATGTCTTTTTTGTACCTCTCACGTTCCTCGTCAAATTCATCTTGTAGGCGCGAACGAAGCGAACCAAAGTCAGCAATTTCGACCGCATCATCTTCCATCTTAGCTTCTAATTCAGCCAATTGTTCTTCAAGATATCGAGCTTTATCTTGTGCGATCTTCTTGTCATTTGAAATTTCCACCAATGATTGTTCTAACTCGGTGATTTGGAGTCTCAATAATCCCTCGGTCTTTTCGACTTTGAGTCTAGAGAGTTCCGCAGCATCAAGTTTAATCGAGATTACATCCAATTTAGCTTTATGAATATCTAATGACTCCGCCAGTTCAGCGGACTTTATTGTTTCCGCCTCGTATTTGAGTTGACAATCTTGTAACTCGGCTGCTACCTTGCGACGATTTGCGGCCTCTCTTTGCTTTTCGCGTGCTTCCTCGTCAAATTTACCTCTAATCTCCTCGAGTTCGGCCTGAAGCAACTTGTTTGCGCGCTCAAGCTGAATAATGTCTTTCTGTCGTTCTTCGGCTTCTTTTTGTGCTAACAGTTGAGCGGGGGCATTTAACAAACCGAGTTCCTGCATCTGGATCTCAAGAGTCTTTTTTGATCTTAATAATTGTTCACATTGTCCCTCAAGCTCGTCGAGCTCCTCAAGCAAATCCCTGACCTCCTCCTCGAGATTCATTTCCCTTTGACGTGTCTGTTTCAATAATTCTTCTTTATCAAGAGTTAAGGAGCGCTCATTGTGCAGCAATTCTTCTAGTGCGATTTTCTCTGCCTCAAGCTTGGCGTTCGCCAATTCAAAGTTCGTCCGTTCCTCGGTCTCCTTAAGAAGTTTTTCTTCGAGTTCACGTATACGGTTATCCCTGATCCTCAATTGTTCCTCGAAACGGACGCTGTTCAACATTGGTCTAACTTTGGAAAAGAGCTTCCACCAGGGATCCGCGCGAAGATTATTGTAAAAACGAACATTCCTCTGAATGACGAGCACAGCTTGAAGTTTTCCTTCAAGTTTCTTGTGATCTTTTCTTCCAAGCCAGCTTCGACAGTGCGCTTGAAACTTGGAGAATACGAGCGAGAGTTTGGCATCACGTATCTCTTCCAGTTCTGCCAACTAAAGGTGAAAATTGTGATCAATACTATCTGTGCATGAGATGATATGATTGGAAGATGGCAAACACTAAAGTATCTCTTACCACACCAGCACGAAAGAAGACCTTGCTCAGTCCAATGCGATATTGAGTGCTCTCTAATTTAAAGGCTTCCAATAACCTTTGTGCAGCTTCTCGACCATCCATGAAGCCTTCGGGAATAATTCCTGGAGTCAGAATTTCATAACGTTGACGAAATTCTATGAATCCCAATCGGTTGGGAAAACCGGCACGACAAATTCGGATTCCTTCAAGCACACCATTACACCTCAATTGATCAAGGACCAGAGGTACATCTATTTTACCGGACTTTTTTTCGTTGTTAGGCACAATGCACCTCACAAAGTGGGGATGCGTGGCATAAAGTTGTTGCATCAAAGAGTGTAATTGTTCCTTATGACGACGGCCGACCGTCCTGAAAGCTCCGCGTTTAACGCGATTCTTTTTGCCGTCATCAACGAAGTCACCGAGGTAGTCGGAAAAGATAGAGGAAATGTATTTGTCCGAAGAATAGGCCAAGAGATGAGCAACATTTTCGTTGAGAGGATCTTTGTTTTTATTGAGCCAACCTTCAGTTCTATATTCTACTTTGGCAGCATAATGCTGCAGGATAAACCCTTGATGAAAGCGAGGAACCTGGTATTTCGACGATTTATCTTTCCAGAGGCTGTGTAACTTCTCAACGAATGTCTTATCCGTAGCCTTTGGCATCACACATTCTTCGTCAAGGCAGGAGAGGATGCCTACAGGCTGACAAAACGAAAGACAGAGGATATGAATAAGGTCGTGATCACAAATGGTCACGCGCGCAAGTTGTACGTACATTAACTTTATCGATCAGATCAATCGTTGGCTGCAAATCCAATCCAAAATCAATAAATTTCCACTCGATGTTTTCCTGTCTGTACTCCTCTTGCTCCAAAACAAACATGTGATGATTAAAGAATTGCTGAAGCTTTTCGTTTGTGTAATTGATGCATAATTGCTCGAAACTGTTTGTCTGTAAAAAAATGGAATCCCAAAATAAACACAAATGTATTGACATAAATGATGAAGTCAATATATGAGCCATAATGGTATATCAACCTCGAAGATCTCAAATCCAGCAATATCAAGCACACCAATAAAGTTTGCTTTGTTCGAGGGTCTATCAACTGCTCTGTTGATCCTATCCACCAACGCACCAAAACTTCGCTCATATAAAGATTTGGCAAGTGCCTCAATCGAGTATAAAACCTGTTCCCTAGTGCGGGCCTGGGTTATCCACTCTCGACCGGCTTTAACCTGTGGCCTTAGGATGCCTTTGATAAAGTCGGCCATCGGTATTTCCAATAGATGGCAAACTTTTTCGACAACCGAAGTTTCCAAAATTTGCGCCTGATCATCTCTGTTTGAGGTGACATCGATATTCCCGAGATGCAGTACGATGGCGACCGTACGGAAAAAATTCATCTGTTCTTCTTGAGAAATTCCCACTATGTTCATGGCATCCTGAGAAATTTTTTAACATCTCAGTTGAATGATCTTTAAAGGAAAAAGGGGAACATTGACGACTGCAACAATACGTACCACAAGACCTTGAAATTCTATTGCATCATCCACACCGTCGATATCTTTCCTTGAATGTTTTGTGAATTTGTAATCGCTCACCTGTCCATCCAAAAGCAACTTACCTATAGGGAGACGGAGAATTTACAAAACATTTACATGCGCATGTATAAAAAACGCACGTGTTATTAAGATGATTGTTCGAACTTCTTACCTCTGATTTGAGGAGAGGCACCTTTCAGTAGCTGATAGAATATGTGAAAGTTGCGTTCACTTGAAGTTTGATAAGTGACGCGTGATTTTTCCAGCAGGTACCTTTCGATATTCGCTCCCGCGATTTGACCGGCAGAATTAAATTCAATGCGAATAAATTTGCCCTGAAAAAATTTTTCAAGTGAATGAGTATCATTGATTGAAAAGTTCAAGAAATAGCGGCAAAATGGAACCTACGAAACGAGAGGAGTTATTGTTACGAATTGTTTGTGCATTTCCGAATGCCTCCAATATAGGATTTGCTTGAAGAATTTGTTGCTCGAGTTTGCCCAATTTCTTTGTGCCGGAACTATCACTAGCAATTGCCGCTATATATTGGATCACCTTTTTTGTGTTTTCGGTTTTTCCAGCTCCAGATTCACCTCTAAATATACATTTGATTAAACCAAGTTTACTGGAACAAGGATCACCCGAATTCATAAGCATACTCACGTGATTAGGATAGACTGGTTTTCACGTTCCAGCAATATGTTACGATAAGCCGCGTCGGCAACGGCATATATGTGGGGAGGCATCTCGCGTCGTCGTCGATTCTTGTAAGACCGAATGATCTCATCCGTGTAGATTGGGAATTTCTGGTAGGGATTGACTGCGACCAGGAAAAGTCCCGAGTACGTCTATTATAAATGTGAATTATTGCATAAGTATTTCAGGAAATAACAACAAACTTCAAAGACTTACGTATATCAAGTTAGATAGATATCGTAATCGGAGGTTGTGAATTACGGATGCTTCATTCAAATGTGTCAGGTCGGCCATGTCTTCTACTTTGTCAAATTTGGGTGGATTCATTTTTTCAGTTTCGCTCAGGCCGACAATACGAATCTGGATTATCATCAAGTTTAATAATATCATAGGGATTGCAACGGCAAATCGCAGATCATTATTGAACCTTACCGAACCATCGTTCAAATGAACCTCCACCTGTTCGCCCATCTCTTTCGTTATGTAACCGGCGACGTATCCCTCATTCTTATCTTCAATCCAAACCCACTTTTTTTCATTGAAAGAAGCTTGAGCGACAGCATCAGCTACTCCAGCGCCTCGGGCACTATTCGAAATACGTCGAATGATTTCACTTCTCGGTATATCTTCATTAGAATGTTCAATCGCTAACATTTCACCGAGACTATGGATACAATGAGGTACAAGTATATAAATGCCAGGAGGAAAATTCAAGATTCTTTGTGGTTTTGTAAAGAGGATTAAAAAAAAAAGGAGTCAATTAGTAAAACTAGCAAATGGGTGACTTTTATATACAGTACATATACACACATTTACGGACGATCAGGGGCACTAGAGTTGTTCACTATACACGTGCGTGGTCTTTTTAACTCCTTACATGCATACGTAATGTACTTTATTTGGTGAGTGAATTCCGGAATGATGAACTAACGATAATATATTTTTAGGATTGGAATTTAATCGAGCTCATTGGGCCAAGTAGTTAAATTAACTTTAAATCAACTTTTAAAATAAGCATCAGAAATACTTACTTATTCCTTATTATTATTATATTACTGAAATTCGAACGCATTTAAAAGATTACTTATTAATATCATGCCAATAAGTAATACTTGCGAAGCAAGCATGGTTGTATCAAAACACAGAATGGCGTGTTAGATATTCCATGAAAGTACGACCAGATCGACCCGCGAGTATAAAATATAACCCCGTATGATATTTACAATACATCATCACTAAAGTCTAAAATTCTAGGCAGCGCTAAAAATAGTATTGTGTGACATTTTCAAAATTCGACACTCAATTAGGCTTTATAAAATTCAAAGTAATGAAAGAGTGTGTTTAAATATTCGTTTATATAAATTAGACCACGTTGAGTAATATGATAAATTCAGGCGAAGATATTTTTAGTCGGAAAGCAAAAGTAAACAAATGAGTAGAAATGTACGGTATATTGAATTTCATCGGGCACACCAATTGTCAGGGAGTGCGACACGTTGTTTGACAGATACAGTATAAAATTGATCGAGGTGTTTAAAGATTTGAAGTAACATGGGTATTTTTCAAAATTCGAATTTACTTGTCACAAAAGTATACAGAAAGTCAAAACCCATTTAAAACCATCTGCCCCACTTATTTACCACCTTTATTACCTTTACCTTTTTTCGCTGGTGTTGCTGTGATATATTTTTTAGGAATACCCTTTGTGTTGATTAAATACTCTTTAACAGATGTAGTCTGAGGTCCCTGAATCGTGACCTCATATAGGGGTTTCTTCGGTGATGATTGAGGCGTCGTGCTAACTGATGTGCAAATAATGAAGCCATCCATTCGTATACATATAAATGGATATACGTAGGTGTATGTTTTGTCGTTTAAAAGTCAAGGTTGGAAAAAAAAAAAACCTTACCGGTCACGCTACTTGCACACAACTTCTTGAGAGGTTCAACCAAATCATCGGGATTAATACCGTAATCCTCTAAACCCCGAATAATTGTGACCATCTTATTGCCCGAACGAGTCGCCTCCAAAATCTGTAGATGCTTCGGTGATCCCTTCCTGTAATTAACGATACAAATTGTGAGCATCCTTCAATGCAATCGACCTATCAATGATGGTAATTTTGAATGGACCTCAATTCAGGATCGTTCCCCGGAAAAGTGACTGAATGGTATTCTTCCATTCGTTCTCTTATATGTTGGAATAAATCATCCTGCGTCATTTTATCAGGTAAAGGATCCTCAAATTTCTTGTCGGCGAGGACTTCGCGTAGATTTTCATCGAGAGTAATATATCTTAAAGTGAAACACTGTTAGCTTGCTGGTTAATATATTTTTCCCTGCATGAGGCAACGAACGAACCTCCGATTGCGTTTGTCTGCAAGGTCCCGAGAGTTTACATAGCCCAGAACCGTTTGTCGTATTTCTCGAAAATCGTAGATCCCTTCCTTACTAAGAATTTTCAATGGAACAACAGCAAAATTTTTGAACCCCGACGATTTCGATTTTCGGCGTGGAATTTATTTTAAACAATCAATTAAACCTTTTCCCTTGAATCTCGAAAAGCTCCGCAACAGCACCCTTCGGCTTGTAAACTTCTGCAATCTGAATTTCACTTGCGGTGTTATTTGAGTTCGATAGTTTATTTTCTTCATCTAAAGCGTGAGGTTTAGCCGCTTTCTCGACAGTTTTATGAGATCGAAAATTTTTGAGTCTACGAACAAACAGATAAAAGAGAAAAAAAAAAAAAAAAAATCAAAGACTTGATGCTTAAAAGTGTGTTGAAAATTGTACGCAATAAATTAAAAACAGCATCGATCACCTACTCCTCATTATCCCGGTCTACTCTTATTAAAAATGTTTCACCCCGTTGACTTTTTAATTTGATGACACCCTTCTTCTCCATTGCCTTCAAAAACTTGGTGACCTGTTCAAAGATTTCATTTTTTTATAATTATTTTGGACTCCGGCGTTCATAATTTCAACTCGATTTATATTATTAATACCTGTTTGTAGCTTGACTTTTTGACGTCTACGTCCTTTTCGGTCCCGATGGGTCGTGATGGAAGTATGTACTCCGAATAAAGTTGCGAACTTGTAATGGGCAACACCGATGATGTTAATTTTTCTGTGAGAGCCTGATAAAGGGACGCCTGCAACAAATCATCGACCTCTGTTTGATGCAATGAATTTAGTTTAAAGTCTTACTACATTAGATTGAAAAGAAAATATGACCTGCTGTGGTATATCTAGCTGTTTGCTCGATCGCTGCTTCTTCTTCTTCGTTGGAGATGATAAAATCAGTATCTACTTCGGTAGCGGATCTCTGTTCCCGTTCTTGCCCCTCATCCTGTTCATGTTCCTCATCCTTTATTTGTTTCTCAACAATAGAATCGATTTTAACTCCCTCCTCCATATCAGGCGGCGATGATTTATCACCCATGCTCCACAATTGATCTTTGTAAATGTGAATTATGCTGACGGCAACTCCTTTACGCGTCGACCCTCGTTCAAGAGAGTTAGTAGGAACATCCATGATACCCACAGCTAAAGGTGCACTGAGTATTCCAATTGAATATTAAAATTCATTTTCTATCGATAACAGCGTTAAAAAATTTTTTTTCTCAAAAGACATAATGAGAAGTGACGCACTTGTAATCTCTGATAATAATAGACACAAGTTCACCTTCTTTAACATCGGGCAAGCTTTCTGTTGGAAAAGCAATACCTGGAATCATCAGATTTGCGCCATTTTCCAACTTTGAGATTACGGCCGGAAACGTGGGTATCTTTGGGAGGATACTGGGGTTGCGCCACAATGTGTAGACTACGATTATAAAATATGAGTAATCATATCTTCATTTAAAGAACGCCGAAAATATTATGACCATAAATTTTTTTACCGCTAGGAACCAAAAATTCATTCTTGTCTTTGTCCAATCTGATCCACAAAGGATGTTTAGATTCATCGACATAGAGCACTCCGGTGTAACCATTATGGGTTTTTACGTTGGCCTTTTCTACATGCTCCGGGACTATGCTTTTGTTCTCTTCACTCTCCCCATTTTCAAGTGTTGGATAACGCCTAATCAATTCTTCCCGGAATTTGCGACGATCGGAACTTCGTAAAGGAGAATAGGGCTTAATGCTCGCTAATGGCTTTTTAAACATTCTAACTCATTAGATGGATGCTTGAAAAGCGAAATTGGGGTTAAATAAGTGCATACGAGAACCATAATGGAATTAGCAAACATGAGAAATTACCACGGCGTGAGATGGTCAAGCGACCGCGACGGCTACAATTACTTTCTCAATTGGTTTATTCCATTTTTCGAGTCATCATTTAAAAGTATCAAGTAAACATACAGTAAAAGCAAAAAATTTTCAACTCACTTAAATATTAAATTTTCAAATTCGATATCGGTTTGATCAAGATTATTTCGGAAAAACCTCCTGAGTACCTTTTTTTTTTTTTTTTTTTGTGGTGCCAAAAACCAGGTATTTCGGTTGTGCCTTCACAATTTTACAATAAGAAAATAATTCGAAAGAACCAGTATTTTAGGTGAATGCATGTAAAAGAACACGCCACCGGAAAGTCAATGACTATATAAAAGCATTTAACATTAATGACGTACGGTATATGTCCTAAGAACACAGATACGACATAACTATTTTAAGTCCTAAAACGAGTCAATCTTTAAACATAAATTTATGCAACGATGATGGGATTTCAACACTGCCCCGCAGTTAGTATATCTTATTATCTTGGTACGTTTAATTATGTGGTAAAATTCATATAAACTATAATAATTTATTGGAATTAAAAAAATTTTTTCTTCACTATTTATATACTTTTAATATTACCGCAAAATGCATATATACTGCATGTACTGTATATACTGTATACGGTATATCATTTTTATTAATATAAATGGTTGAATCTTTGACTTACTGTATTTCTTATATTTATAGAACTATTTTTTTACTGTATTGTTTTTTTAACTTTTTAATTTTTTTTTTTTTAAAAAAAATTTTTTTTATCAAGTTAACTTTATAAGCTTTATTAAATATTTTGTAAATTGCACATATACTTACTGTATATATATTGCTAAAACTAATTTTTTAACAAACTTATTCGTTTTTATTAATTAATTTTTTAAATATAACTTTGAGATAATTTTTATTCTATTAATAATTCAAATAAATATTTTCAACTATTAACATACTATCTGCAAGTTACTATTACAATTATTTTATTAAGTTCTAATAATAATCAAAATTTAATTACTTTATTCAATATTTAATCTTATTTTTTTTTTTTAACTAGTTCAACTGACAAAACGAATCTTTATTAAAGAATCAGTAGTATATTTTAAATTACATGAATGATTCGTATAACCTTTTAACTACCTATCCTAGCCTAGCACGTCAAATTTTACTACACTGTGATATCATTTTCATCAGTTTTCCTGCTCTGCCCAGGCTATAGCATTCTGAATGACCATATGGACTTCTTTGATTATTATTAATCTTTAAGGAGCTGTGTATTATATTCCTTAGTGAGGTTTTGTAACCACTTGATGATTATAGGTACCATAAACGATCCCTACCATGTTTGGATCCTTTATATGCTAGTTAAACTTTAGATGGCACAATCCTCTGATCATGTTCTTGATATCCAAGCAATTCAATGGTATTACGTAATTGGGTAGCATATAGCCTTCCATTGCCTCATTTTTAATTACTCTTACAAGTTGACCTAACAGAAGTTTCTCTTGGTAACTTCATAACAGATTGCTCTTTCTATTGAATTGATTACCTTGGTGATAGTTTCCAAATTTCTTCTTCCAGGGTCTACCCCTGCCAGTTCCCAATATGGCGCTAATGCTAACTACCAGCCTTCACAATAGCTGTCCTCTTTGATAGCTGTTAGTTTCGCGATTATAGAGATCTCCCATTAATTATTGTTACAGCCCGTTATATTTTTTGACAGGTACAAGTGATTAAAGTCTCCCTTATCTCTCATAGGATGTAGTTTTAACAAGAGATGAATGTCCTTCCCATATCCGTTAAGAGGCTTGAGCTGATCGACATTTTTCCTAGCTTGTCTTGAATCCTTACATATTTCAGGTGACAGGTATATCGAGGATTTTCCTTGGTGCTTAAAACCGACCAAAGTTTGAGTGCCCTGAGTTTTATATCGTAGTCGGACGATGAAAATCTGTAGGTTATCTGTGAGTACAAGGGTGCATGTAGTAATGAGCATGCATCTTGTACAATGTAACCTATATTGCGAAAACTGTTTCTAGGTGGGATTGAATCAGTAACTTGCAAATGTTGACCTGGGAGTGCACCCACTGCACTATTGATCTACAAGTTAATATTTAATCTTATTTATTATAATCTTTATTGATTCTTTATTTTATTTTTTTTAATTTTTATATAAATTTTCTTATTAAAGTTTATAAACAAAATAATCTTGTAAATTTTTTAATTTTATTCTTTTTATCAATAATTTAATTTTATTTTTAATTTATAATTTTTTTATATCATGTATTTTAAATCTTTTTTAGAATAAATTAAATTAGTAATATATTAATCAAAAAATATAAATATATATTATAATTAAATATTAAAGCAAATCTATCTAATTTGTCTTAAATATAATAAACTTTAAATTTAATTTTAAAAATAATTTATTATTTTATAGTAAATTTTAAAGAAAAAAATTTTTAATTCATATATTATAATTAACAAATTATTACTATTAATTAATTGTTGAAATATAAAAAATTATATAAAAAGTAAATTAAAAAATATATATATTGTGATAAAAATAGCATCTACTACCATTGGATAGTTATTTTTAGTCATGATCTTTATTCTATTTCCATTTTTAT